CAATAAGAATTATTCTTAAATGCCAGCTGATCTGGCTATCTCCTTTGTCCTGTACAACATTGAACAGTTTAGTTTTGTCAACTGCTTCTGACACTGTTTTTTCACTTCCTTTTAGTCTTTTTCTATTACGAGTCGTACGATTGTGATGGTCTGGATTCGATTTTCAATTAATAGAAATTTTCTTTTTTCTGGATTAGTACCCGCAAATCTTACTTGGTCTTTCTTAGAATTCAGATTCCTTTTGTCATCAATCAGAAAGCCATCCCGTCTTAGATACATGCGCTTTATTTAGGAATCACTTTGCATTTTGAGTCGGGAATTTTTTTTTTTTTTTTTTCATCTTGAAATTTTATCGTCAGTCGAAAAGAATGTTTCTGGGTTTTCCGATTTCAGAAATCACTGTCTGGATTTTACCAATGACTACTGAATAGCGGTAAGAACTTATGCGTATTCTGTTTCTTTAATTTTTCTCGATTTCATCAATATTTATTTTGATAGGAAATTGGTGCTGTTAGGCGAGATCAATTATCGTGGATTACTCCCTGTTAAATGCTCGAAACTGATGCATGTGAGTGCTTTTCTTCGGAGTAGGATAAGATTGTGATTGGAATGGTTTAATTTTTGAAAATTGAATCTCAAATGGGTATATCTAATTGTAAGCATTTGAGATTCTGTGGTCTCCATTTGAATTCTCTGGCCAGCAAATGTGTGGCACTGGTGGTCATTGCTTTGGTTCTTAGAGCAGTTTTTCTTCCCATGTTTAACAAGAACCTATTTGCATTTGACAATGGACCATCCACATTGAAACGAGAATTTCGTATTGAAAAGACAAAGTTTTTGGAGGTTCCTCAAATCATTTGGGGGTTAAACAATCAGAAAATTGCATTTGCAAGAGCTGCATTAACCGCAAGAATGCTGAATAGAGCACTTTTGATGCCTAGCATGAGCGCGTCACTATTTTATAAAGAAGTTGATTTGCTGCAACCTATTTCATTCGATAAGGTTTTCCAATTCGAAAAATTTAACTCTCTTTGTAAGGGGTTTGTCCAATTGGGTCGTTATTCGGAGGTTTCCAACCACAGTGATGTTTTCAAACTTCAAAAGAGGAGCGGAAGGAGGTGGACAGTTGAGAAAGATTTAGATCAGTTAGGACAGTTTAGCAACAATCCATATCACAGGTATGAGATCATTCAGATTGTTGGCAAGAACCCATTTTTGTGGCATGATCATTGGCCAGTTAAAGACTACGCGAAGATCTTTGAATGCCTAGTTTTGGTGGAAGAAATATCAAGAGAAGCTGATAAGATTGTTTCCAAGATTAGAGAGATTGGGTCGAAAGAAATCCGTAAAGTCGGGCCGTCCCAAAATGTTGTTGATTCAGTGCCTTATGTAGCAGTCCACATGAGAATAGAAAGGGATTGGATGATTCACTGCAAGAAGCTGGAACAAAGATCAAATATAAGTGAAATTTGTAGCAGTAAGGAGGAGATTTTGGAGAGAGTGGGAAATATTGTCGGCCTGAAAACTCCGGCTGTAATTTACCTAGCTGTGGCTGATACCCTTCTTGAAGATGACTCTATACTAACTGGTTGGAAGGAGGGATTGCTTCCTCTTGAGAAGAAAAAGTTAGGCGTTGTCGAAGTTTACGAGAAGCACCCGTATCTCATTCAATCAGCCATTGATTATGAAGTTTGCTTGAGATCTGATGTGTTTGTTGGGAACAGTTTTTCCACATTTTCCAGCCTTGCTGTTCTTGATAGAACCCAGAAGATGATCAAAATGGGTGCTAGGAATATCTGTGGCATGGAAGCTAAATGGCCTTCTTATTCATACAATTTACATGGGGAATCAAGAGGGCCCCGTCCTTGGGCGACGAATATGTCTGATCTTAATCTGCAAGCAATTAGTTATGGTTCTAACGATGTCTCGTGCCAATTAAGTTCATAATTCTAGATGATCACCCGATTCTTCCTTTGGATGTTGGTTGAGCTCCTATGACGCATTTGGTGTTATGGCTTCAAATTTCTTTTATCTGTAAACACGGTGGGTTTGGAAATTATTGGAAAGCATATAAGGGAAAAATCAGGTATGCTTTTGTTTTTGTAAATCTTATATTTGGGAGGGTCTTGATAATTTTTTAAAGCTCGATATAGTGGCATGCATCTTGGTGGAATACCTGTGGATTAAATTTTGTAGGTACATTTAATGTCAGTTGCAATAGAAGCTTCATTTTTTGAAATTATTCCATGCTGTGACACAATGACAAGGTTATACTCTTTACATTTTTTTTTTCAACTACTCCATGCATGAGACGAGATCATACTCTTTTCTTTACATCTTCGTATACAATATTGTGTAGGATTGAACTTGTATAATCGACAAAATTTTAATTTATTTCACTCCTTGATATTGTTTCTTTGTTGATTAATCCTCAATAAACATGTTATAAATCGGCAAAGAAATTGTTGGTCACAAGTTTCAGCTAATTGACTAGTGAATATAGTTGTTCCTCTTCGACATTTCGATTAAATTGAGCACTCAATATTACTCTTGTTATATCATCCATTATATGTTGTAGATGTTAGAACATTTTCAAAATAATGTCAGTTTTTGACATTATAGGATGTGTTAAGAAGAGTTTGCACGAGTCATGGAATCGTAGGCGGTAAGTTCATAGTGGCAGATGACGGAGGAGGGCCAGCCGAGGCTGCAAATGGCTTGCCGCGGCTGCCCAATGCTATTGGGCTACCAGGCCACGGCATGCAGGGAAATCTGCATGCTGCCGCCCCTGTGAACTTCATGCTTAAACCCGTTTGTGGACCACTTTTCACTCCAATTCGATTGTGTAATTATTTATTTGAATGGTTGTGACTCTAATGTATAATTGCAACTCTTGGAAAGAAATGTTTCATAATCTACAAACAAGATTGGTAGTTACTTGTATAAAACACACTTCTGAAATACACTGACATCATGCCAAAAGAATTTTCTTTCATCCCCTTGATTTTCCGACATAATTTACTTCCCATTTGCATCAATTTTCCTACAAAATCTTGTTTATCCTTTATCATTCTCAACAGACAGAGTATAGATCTTGAGTATAGACATTTTTAATCATTAGTGTACGGGTTGTCTTTTTGAATGCACAAAACAAACAACATGATGGCTTCATTGAATGCTGGTGTGTTTCTGCGTGCATCACGATATTGGTGGGACAAATAACGGCTTAACAAAAGTACAAGCACATGCCTTGAAGTCAAAATTTTCATAGTTCGAGATTCTGCAATTTCCTACTACTACTTATTTCTTGCGTTATTTAAAGACTTCTATGTGTTGGTCGAAGACGTTACGCCAACAGTAGAGCAACAGTTTGGCCTAGCTTGAAAAATTCGACATTCCTCTCTATTCAAAGTAATTTCTCACGTTTTCTTGGTAGTGACCCTGCTGAAAATGGTGGGAAGGGGACTTAATGAAATAATTGAACCCACCAAATGGTGCCAGTGGTTGTCCCATGACCCTTAGGGTGCTACCTGAGGGACATCAAGGGGCATTTGCTGGCCCTTTCAGCGGGGTTGATGCCTTAAAAGCAAGATCCGAGAGACATGGATCTTATGAGTTTTGTAGCATAGTTCAAGTTTTTCCAACATTTACAAAGTGCTAACTATCGATACAAAAATATCAAAATCAATCCCACGAAAAGAAAAAAAAATTGCGCCATTAAAAACTGAAGGAAACCATTTTTCACCCCCAAAGAATATACCAGCTCATAAGCAGTTTTAAATGTAAAGTGCCTGCAGACGCTGCTCCCTATGAAATGCCAATACTATTTCAAAGTGAATCACATGTAGAGACAACATATAAACCAGTTCGCTTCATTGCCTTTTTAGGTTGTCAAAAACATTTATCCTTTCGTTTTCCTTTAGACTTTCGTCTTCCTGCAAGAAGGAAGCTATATAATGTGTAAACTTATAATCCTTGCACAAAGAAATTTATGCTCACAAGTTTTGAGCACAAGGAATACGAGAACTGAATGAAAAAGGACCTATTCACACATATGTCCAAATAGCGGGAGAACAAGATACTCTTTACCCTGTAAATCAAACACTTTAGGAATGATATCGACTTCATTGAGTGTAGTCGTCATAGTAATTATCGCTCATAACAGACACGAATCTTTCAAGCCAAGGTAGCTGATGCAGATCCTTCATGGCATCAACATAGGAATCTGTACAACGAGGAGGGGATTGTTGAGGCTGATGATCAGTCAAACTGAATGCCCCTGCAAGGAACCTCTGGATCAATGCCAGCTGTGATTTTTCTTGATCTGAATAAGCATCCATCATCATCGGCAGTGACTCAAACGAATCCCATGCCCATTGTTCAAACTCTTGGGTAGGAAAATTTGCCGATTCATTAGAGTAATCTTCATTCCAGAATGCGCATGCACATGTCTGTTGGCCATTCCTGTTTTCTGTACCACAAGAATAACAGAACTCGTGCCCACACCTGCAGGTAAAATATGGACATGGGACAATTAGAATGAGCACTTATAAGGTTTACCATATTAGTCCTATTATTCAAATTTTTCTATAGTTTTGACTTCTTTTATGCCAATATTTCCTTTCGATATACAATAGGCAATGCTAAATCACAATTTTCAGAAGTATTTCCATGATGCCACTCCTAACACCTACTAAACATGTTAAGCAATCTCACATAATCTATTCAGAAGACATGCCAAGAGATATTGCAAGAAAATAAAGCAAAAGTGAGATGCCATGAATCCAATAACAAATCAAGAAAACAATATGGTCATTAATGCACCCCATATGTCTAATTAACATTTCCAAGAATGCTTGTTGTCGTGTATAAAAATTTGCCTCATCAAACCTCACTCAATAATGGTAGGATCTGAATTAAATGAGAAAGACGATACATTCCTCATCATCGTACGAAAAAGTGTTGAGGATGAAATTACAACTAGAAAATTCATCTAAAGTGACTATAACCTCACATTTTGCACCAAATGAATAAAACGTCATAACTAATAGTGATAAAAAGATTCCGACAAGTCTACTAAATTCATGTGTAATTCCATTTATAAATCATAAGACAATTCATTCTATATACATAAAACACACACACACTTGCTAGATCTTTAACACAATGCACGCACTTAGATGCTTTTATTATGGTGACATTCAAATAACTCGACTGACTTGAACCTCAGAGGGTCTCTGTTGGGCAACCCAGCACCTCCTTGGAGGTCTGTGGTTTTGTAAGTCTATTCACAAAGTCATAAAGAAACAGCATTAGGAGATTCTCGCAAATCAAATTTGAAATGTTAACGGAGTTTGACATCAACACTATCCAACTATTTTTCTAATACTATTTCTTTTGACTTTATTTTTTATTTTCTGTGGTCTTGAGGGTTGCTACTTGCTAGCATCAGTTGTCAATGGTGTGACTGAAAATTGATCTTTCAACATTACAAAGTTATCAGATTGCTTCAGTTTCAGGAATCAGAACAAGATAATTTGCTACTTCAAACAAATAAATGCTAAAAATAAGCCCATTTACCTATTGGAAAAACATAAATTTAGCTTCAGGTAATTTCTAAAACGTAAATAGTTAACCATAAAGCAATAAGACCATCAATTTCTGAAGTTTTAAGAGTGAAAATTAAATGAGTGCCTCTATTGGTTGAGCTATTCTTAAAAAAGAAAATGTGTATAGGAAAAAAGATAATAGGAAGGAAAGGAAAAAAAGGAATGTTACTTGGACAAATAGTCATCCTTCATTTGTTTTTCTACTTGATGTTTATTTTATATAAAACTCTCATAATCACAGAAAATATGGCTCTGAAAAAACCTAGGACCATATAAACTGCCAGATTTGGTGTTCTCCAATGAAAAAGTACCATGTTTGGTAATTGATTAGACTGTGTTGCCAATTATGCAACTTACCCATTGAACGTAAACTAATTTCACCACGGAACTCAACTACTCACACTCACGATGCCATATTAAAGACAAATCCAGGAGGGCTAGAGCCAACCTCCCCATAACAAGAACTTACAATCTGTTACGGATTTGACTGACCCCAGAAAAGATGTGGGCGTGTTTCAACCTTACCACATGCCACCCCACAGTTGAAATCGGCATCCAGCACAATGGTTGGCCGGTGGATTTGATCAGGTTGGTAGAGTTCACGTGTTTGCCAATGTTCTTCAGATGTCACCTCTGTAGCATAGACACTTCAACTAGGGTAGCGTGTCAAACACGAGTCGATACCGACACTTTTCGGACACTCTACCGTAATCATTTTTCTCTTTATATTACAAATATTATATATTGTTAATTCAAAATTATTAGCAAGTAACAAATAGGTACTCATGTTTAAAAGATTTCAACAAAAAAAATTAATAACAAGTATAAAACTAAATTTATACTATATAAATGAAGAATTTTTAAGAATTTAATCAACGTGTCGATGACGTGTCGTGTCTGTACTTTTTTTTAAAAAATCGCGTGTCGACGTATCCGACATGTATCGTGTCGGATACACGTGTCTATGTCGGTGCATCATAGGATGTCACCATGGGCAAGGACCATTTAAAAGAAGACATTTCTCTATCACACACACACACACATCAGATCAGGTCCAATCTTATAATTGTGGGAAAATCTAGGTTTTTTGTCAGATTTACGATGGCCTAGTCATCCTACTCTTTACTAATTGTTTAGCTTATATTGAGAAATCAAGATAAAGGAAGGTGTGCTTTTGCAGGCCATCTTTCTCTGATCTCCTCATTTATCTTCTGCATCCATTTTCATACAAATTGACTGAAGTGTCTAACGAGAAAAAAATGTTCGTTCCAAGGAGCAACAAACTCATGAAGCAAGGATAATGTTGCTAAAAATTCTGAAGTCTCAGTATCTATCTTACTAAGTCACTGTGAGAAAATACTTCAGAAGCATTCAAAAATAGAAGCATAAATATTTCAAAAGAAAATAGTCTTACCGGCATGTCATGTGGTAGCAACTATGACTTCGTTCAATCATCCTGTGGCACCGCTGGCAACGTCTCCACCCTTTATTCTGTAGCAAACTCGTGTAACACTCTTCTCTCTCCTCCAGTGTGAGATTTTGATACTCTTCACAGGTCATAGAAGTATGCCAAGGAACCCCACAATCCACACATATAAATCCTCGACAAACAGGACACTCCATGCAGCCATTGTCTGTCTGGCTCGATGAACTTCCCCGAGTTGACAAGCATTCACGAGGATCAAGCATAACCGAGCAATTAATATATGGACAGCAAATCTTGTTGAGGATATTTGCTTCTTTAAGGGCCCTCTCCAAAGTTTCATAAGAGGTAACAGGAAGAAAAGACCTAAACTCAGCGGTGGAAATACAGTATTTGCATCTCAATTGAGGACATCTAATGGGAACACTAGAAGATTGCATTTTCTCCTTAACATAAGTTTTCATGCAGTCGGAACAAAATCTGTGTGAACACTTGATCGTGATCATCATTGATGCAAACTTTTCCAAAGAACAGATTGAACAAATTTCAGTCAATTTATCTCCCTCGGCAGGAATAGAGACTATTCCAACCGCCACTTGAGCTAACTCTAAAGCCTTTTGAATTTCAGTACTTCGGACAAATTTTAGAACAAAGGTTTCCATATTACTAGCTTGTTCTAGGATCCTTTGCCTCAACGCCGCAAGAAGTGGATTTTCAAGTTCCTCATCTTTTGTAATCTGGAAGAAATTTCCACCACTTAATAAGTTATACAAAAGATTTTCAAAATCAAATGACTAAAAACCATCTGTGAGTACTGAGAAGCGCAATATTCTTTCGTTACTATTTGAGAGGATATTGATTCATTTCAAACTTATAATGGTTAAAATTGAATTAGATTTCTAAAATAGAAAGAAAATTGATCATGAGAAGTGCAATTTAAATACCAGAAATGGAAAGACAAGAAAATAATTGCTCGTTATATGAAGTAAACACTTCTGGCATTGTTTGGAAAGCTGGCATTATGGTGTCCAAGCTCATTAAATACTGTGTATCAATCATGTCCTAAGATGTCGTAGAACAGAAGTATTGTAGGAAACAATAAAACTTGCCATTTTGAAAGTCTTGGGATAATTATAGATTAGTCTGCGTAACAAATTGTGATCATTAACAAACAAACAAAAACCAACGCAAGATTACATGTTTGGAGCTGGGAAATTGCTTACTTGATCATATAGGATATCAGACTCGGTAAAGGCGAAAACCCGCCTAATATTGTCTTCTGCAGCCTCTGATAAACCATCCAGCAAAGCTAAATAATCTGCCACTGACTCTTCCACATAGAAATCGAGCTTTTTCTGCACTCGAATTGGAGATAAATTACATGACCTCTCCATAACCACCCCAATTCCAGAAAGCCTAGAACCAGAATCTCCAGGACCTGCTATAGACACACCCTTGAAGTACATCTTTACAGAATAATCATTGAGATCGTCCTGTAAATCTGCCTTTGTGGGTTCTTCTCTATCCTTCACATCATCCTCATCCCCGCAACAGCTTCTAAAATCTTCTTCTTCTTCTTCCTTAGTTTCATCCGCAGATGAACCGTCAATAATTGTTTGTTCCTCCATTGCCATTCACTAAAATTTTCAAAGAGTCACAATTTCCTCACAGCTTCACTACTTCAAGAACTGATAGATTTCAAATCAAATAAAAGACCAAATATTCGGAAAATATATCAGAAATTAACAAATTCCAGCATCCTTAGTCCAAGATAAAGGACCATTAAATTCAGATGATGACTTACTCAAAAAAGAAGATCCAGAAGCTTTTCTACACATCTCTGCCTTCTATATCGAAATACAGAAATTTTTTATTAACCACAAGATACACGATTCCAAATGAATATAAACAAGAACAATTTTTTTCAACAAATAAGGAATAAGAGATCCTTCCCATCAGCCAGAAAAGGTATATAAACACAAATTCTTAATTCGCAGAAACTACAGCCCAAGAAACATCACTCGTAAATATAATCTTGCCTTCCATTATAATTCATATAATTTTTCTTCAAAAGTATAGGCATGTGAATTCACATATATGTGCACAAGAAATCAAAAACTGATGGTTCCATACCTCAGTGAGAAGAAATAATTATTGCTATGATTCAGAGTGAGTGATTATACCTTTGCGGGCATTAGAACCCTAACCTACAAATTATCCTCCTTTTGTGTCTGGACTGTGCTTTACTATACTTTTCCTGGATTTTACGTTGGGAGTTGGTGTATTAATAGCGTCACAAGAAACTGAAGTCATTTGTTGAGAGTGGTTGTATTTTCTTTTCTTTAATTGCAAATTCTTTCGTGAGATTCCATAATTCATTCTTAAAATAATTTCGTTTAAGGAAAGCTGCTACCGGATAATGAACACCATGGCTGTAATTTCCGTTATATAGCTTTGATTCTTACTAGTCCAATAGAAACAAATAAGGATTCAATTACTTGCTTCATTAAACTTTCATCGGAATGTACTCGATAATCGAGACGCGTTATATTTTGCACGTAAGTATAAGATGCAAATTAAAGTATGATCCTATAAGATCATTGAAACAGAGTCTTGCATCAAAATCATAATTTTTTATTCGTAGTCGCGTGTTGGTATTTAATTATGTAATGATAAAATGTGATGTGGTGTCGTGAATTTATTTTGACTTGTCAACCCTCTTTGTTATTATTTTTTATTTTCTATTTACTTTATCCATTCGATTCAGTGTTTAATTATTTAGTTAATCGAGAAAGGGTCATTAACAAGTAGTGTAAAACAAGTATCAGAAGTTAAAATATGTGACAATCATGATTAGCACCCACTAGTAAATTTTTGGAATGTGGGCTATTGGCTAATTAATTACTAATTTATTATTTTGTATGTGTCAATATTAAAATAAAATTAAAAAACTAAAATCTTTTACAATTTGAATGGAATTACGCGCTCAAAATTGATATTAAGCCCATGTTTAGTACACATTCTTTCAAAACTAATGATGACAAAAAAACCTTCACGTCCCATCCCGCCCTGAATGGGGTGAAAAAACCCGCCCCGACGGGTTGGCGGGGACTCGGCGCCCCTTCTTGGGTCGCGGGCCCCGTCCCGTGAAGAATTAAAAAAAAAAAAAAAATTGTTTTGGACATTTTTTGTTTCTAGTGATTACTTTGGATATTTTGATGTGGTTAGTTTGAGTCTTATTTGTTTTGAATTTTAAAATTTTGAATTTGTATTTTAACTGTAAATTTTAAAAAATGGAGCAGGAAACAGTGTAGGCCCGCGCCCCGCACCTGCCCCATTGCCATCTCTATTCAAAACTCATTTTCAACCACATATTTTTCGATAAAATAATATTTTTCATCATATCAATAACTTTTCATTTCTTTCTAATCACATATTTCTCATCATATCACAATTTAAAATACATTATTTCCTCAATAATATCAATTAAACACACCTTAATATTTACTTGTTCGGCGTGAATACTTGAAGTAAATATAACTAAAATATAAATATGAAGTGCAACAAATATAAGGACTTGCATAATTGCATTGTATCCCGTTAATTTTATTTATTTTTGAAGCATTTTTACTTTTAAGAAATAGAATATGCAGATTAGGACAACCACTCTGCACATGTAAATTCCATTGTATCATCAACTTGTATTGGAAAATATTTGCCCATATGAAAGGGACAAAATGACCTTAGAAAATTGGAAGTTGGAGAAGTGATTGATGAGAATATTTGGACGTGGCCGGTGCCACTCTTCTATCCAAAAAGAAGTAAAAAAGGGACTTGGTTTTTTGATAAACAACTCGTTGACTATAAGGAAATTAATCTTTCATGATATATTGTGATTTATAATTTATAAGGAAAATAAAGTAAAATGGAATTAGAGAGGAAGATACAAGATAAAAAGAAAACGAGGTTAAGTTTTCAAGAACTTGACATGAAGAACGCAGATTCTTAGTACAAGATGATAACTTTTTTTTTTCAACGTAAAGATTCTTAGTACAAGATAATAACTTTTTTTTTCAACGTTATGCCCATGTTTGACACCCATTTTGAAAAAAATAAATAAATTCTGGAATAGTGATTAATGGAAGAATGTGTGGTTGAAAAGTAATGAGAACTTTTGGATTTATGTGTAGTATTATTTTATTGATGGAATATGTGATTGAAATGAAGAAAAAGAAAAAAATGAGAATGAGAAAAAAATGGATTTCAAACGAATTATTGATAGAATGTATGGTTGAAACAAAGAAAGAAAAAAATAAGAATGAGAATGAGAAATAAATGAGTTTCAAACGGGGGCTATATTTAGCATATTGCAAGATGGTCAGTTTTGTTTCTATTTCACAATGTGACTTGGACTTTCTACCAAATATACGTATTATGAAATGCTAATCTATTGATTTTTTTATTTTTTTTTGTCGGAATTATTCCCTTGAGATATAGGACTACTTGTGTAACTTCTTTCATTGTTCAAGTCAAAACTTTCTAAAGAGTCTCGTGGACATCGAAAGTCGTCGTAAGCAATGTTAGGACTTTGAAATAGTCAACTCATTGAAACATAAACTCGAAAACAGCACGTCAATTTTATATTAATACAACTATTGTTTGTTTGTTCAAAAGAAAAGGGTTATAATACAAGTTAATGTCATTATCAAGTCCATTTAGCCTAAGAGAGATGCCCCCAACTCCTAAAAAAACTGCACTGTAGGCTCTAATCTGTAATTTGATGCTACTTTGCAACTTTGGAACCATGAAATCTGCTGCAAGAAGATCCACCAAAGCCATGTAGATCAAAAGCCCGGCCGAGGTCGCATTAAGTAAACCTACGATAATCGAAACACAAGGGCCGATTTCTTTATAAGCGCTTGATAGAGCTACAAATTCAAAGAACGTCAACATCAGGTGCAATTTTTTTATAACGGGGGGTGACTACTCACGAAATCATGATCTTCGCTCGTCCAATACCATGTGAAACCACCCCATTTAAAATCTTGAACAAATAAATTAGATAGAGATATTAACAATTAGATAGAGAATAGAACCACCGAGTCCCATTCCTTCAAACATTTGATGGAAGCAAAGAGCAGCTAGAAGTCCTTTGATCGTGCAAGTATTGTTCGAGGATCCAAGATAAAGCCCGATCACGATGGAATGAACAACTATTCCCAGCTCCAAAACCTGTCAACAAATCATATGAGTTATATACTATATAGTTCGTATGTGCATTTGTTAGTGTGTGAATGTTTTATGCTTCGCAGTCGAGCTTACTTTAACATGAAATATAGTTAAAAGTTCAATAAATTCACTATTTTTTTCCCTAAAATGAGTTGGCAGGCTAATGTCATTAGAATTTGTATCTTACTGCAATTAATTTTGGATATATAAGAAACATAGTATATTTTACGAACAATATATCTCGAATCAAGTAGAAGAAAACCACAAAGAGTTAGATTGGTACACAGTGAAGGATCTGTGCAAACTTTCTTCACTGCTAGCTAGCTGTTTCGTGTTTCTTGATTGATACTCGGCTCCTTCTTTGCATGTGACTCGATCTCACTTGCAGTTGCTCCAATAGATGACAAAGTAGCAAAATCCATTTAATTTAATTGTGAGGTTCCAATAAATTGTCCAGTTGACTATGGATAGTAATGGGACAGATATTAATTATCTTGTCCCTTCTGTTGTCTTGTTTTTATTTGGAAGGGAAAGGGTATGGCGTATAATAGTCCGTTTGTTAACATTGCGTGGACCCTCTCATCCACACATAACTCATATATTAAAAAAAACATTGATATTTATGTAGATTTAATTTTTTCCTCTTATTTCTCTTATTTCTTATTTTTTGTTATCCATATAAGACACGTGTTAGGGTGTATTTGATTCCATGGAAAATGGTATTTTTCTCCCAAATTTCAACTTTTTGAATGTTCGGTTGATATTTTTTCCATGGAAATTATTTCCAACTTTTGAAAATATGTCTAGTTTTCCTTCAATTGGAGGTACGTTTTTGTTTTCCTCAAAATAAAGAAAATATTTTTTTTTCTAAGCGACATTTCTCTTGTCAATCAAATACATCCTTATTGTACTCTGCAGACGGGATAAATTTAATGTTTATTTTTATTGTACGTGTTTTAATTTTGTCATCTGTTGAAACATCGCCTAGAGTCCTTAATGGTAGGAGTGTCCAAAAGTCCTGAATCGAACCGGACCAAATCGAGCGATTCTTCATAAATTAAATATCCGAATGGGTACCCGAATCAAGATCGATGAGTTTGGATCGGGTCTCAATTCTAGACCAAGAACCGAAGAACCGAATAAGATCCGAAACTAAATAATTTTTTTTATTTTTTATATTGAATTAATTAAATTAAATTAATTTTTTCTAAACAAATTCGTAAATTAATTAAATAAATCAGATCATTTCATAAATTTAATTTTAAAGCCCAATACCCAAATCATTTTAAAGCCCATTTTAAAGACAAGAAACAGTAGAATTTGGGATCCATTTGCAGTTTTTGATATGGATCGCCGATATTTTAATATTAACATCTACTTTTTGGTATTTATATGTATT